AGGGTGTTATATAAGTGCAAGTTGTTGTTGTAAGGTGCAGCTTTCAAACAAGATGTCTTAATTAAGAGCACTGTCAAAATTTCATCAGTGAACATAGGAAAATGGCTATTTAGTGGGGAAAAAGATGAGACGGAAAGTTGCATGATTTGCTTGGAAGCATATTCTTTTGTCTTATTAGAATAAAATAAAAACAAGAAGTAACATATAAATACAGTATTTGGTGCTTTTGCTCTCTGTTTGCTGTCCCTGCTGGAAATTAATTCCTGGACCATTTGTTGCACAAGGAATTTCAGTTGAGCGCATTATAGAAGACAGGCTCCTATGTGCAAGTCCACACACGCATTAGGAATCCTGTTCTATCCCAAGGCACATTACCTAGTATTAGGTAATTTTCTTTTCTTATTTCTCCTGAAATCATAATGACATGATGAATGATGACACTTCTGTATCTATGGATGGCAGTTTTGCAAAACCATTATGCAATACTTAGCAGCTCCTAGAACAAACCATTGGCAATATCAAGGTTCAGGCTCAGCCTCCAGCAATACTGCAGCATAAATTCAGGTCCTTAGACTGCTTGCTTTTTTTAAATTAGGATTACGGTTTTATGAGGATTAAGATTTATTTAATTAGGAATAGACTTTATTTCGGTTTATTTGGATTAGGAAAGGAATAATCTTCATTTTTTTTGCCTGCTGCACATTCAATTTTGGCCCCAATTGCACAAAGCAATTAAAATAATTCTACCTTTTGCTGACAGTTTAAAGTACACAAGAGCGTTTATTTTTACTGTTCTAATAAGAAATTAGTTACTTAACTTTTCACGTTCACCAAACTGTGCTAATTAGAATATTCAGTACGTAACTATTAAACGAGCCGGCAATTATTGATTTTAAAATGAACATGTCTATTCCAAAATACTTTCTCCTAATATGGTGGAAACGTGTTAATCTTGCTGAGATTTTCTTTTCCGTATCTCGTTTTTTTTAAAAGAAATGAAATGTGAATCAGAAAAAAAATATTCGGCTCATTGAGTTCATCTGGAAATGTGCCTGGGTAATCTTTCCTCTCCTTTACCCTAGGGAACTGAGGCCAATGTTGTGTTCCAACAAGGTAGTGTTGCTCCAGCTGCAATTAGTGAACTCAGCACATACCAGGATTCAAAACTGTGACTTCCCAATCCATGCAAAGTAGTTCCATACAATTCAGTGTTAACAACCGACCTGTCCGGAAATACTTTGACCAATTATTCCCACTCGTCCCTCTCCCATGACATGTCAATTATTTTGAAAAGAAAATGATTACAATAATGCTTGTGTTTGATACAGCGCCTTTCACGTCAGGAGGACATCTCAAAGCGCTTCATAGGATTTTACTGTAAAGTGTAGTGACTGTGTATTTTCTCGGCCAATTTGCGCAACAACCATGTCCCACAAACAGCCATGAATCCCCAATTTTGTTTGGGGGCCAACAACCATTGTTGGCCATTCTGTGCAAATCACTCTACGGTATATTATGTGAAGCGCTTTGAGATGTTTCAAAGACGTGATAAGCTGCTATATCAAATGCAGGGATTATTATTATAAATGAAACATAAATAATTTTGAAGCCATCTTAAAAATTGCAGAATTTACAAATGAAATAAAATGTTTTGAATGTAATTGAATTATGTGTATTAACAATTCTAGATCTGTTACATACTTAAACATTATAAAAGAACACATCAGATATTGGGAGCAAACAATAACAATTACTTTGGTGTTTGAAAAATCTTAGGCAACTCTGAGAAGAAGAAAAAAACACTCAATAAATGCTCAAAGGAAGAGAAAGAGTTAAACTAGATAAATAACTTTCAACTGATAAAGACCTTGGATTGTTGACCCAAGTATAGATATCTGGGAACATCATGAGATTTTTTTAGAAAAGCTCTTTCTTTCCCTGTAATCCATAATTTGTTTTTTCAGTGTTAACTCCTCTGTATGATCTGTCTACCATCTGGAGATCAGAGTAGGATTTGGACTCCTTTTGCAAAGACTAAATCATGCCCCGAAACTCTGGAACATTTTTCCTCTAGCTCTCCGCTTTGCCCCTTCCTTCCCCATCTTCAGATAGCACCTGAAGACATCGCTCTTTGACTGGGCCTATGGTTACCTCCCATCTCCCCCCGGCTCAGTGTTGTGCTCTACCACTGTCAAGCGCTCTGGGACGCTACACTCAATGAGGGGCGCTATATAACAACAGCAACAACAACTTGCACTTATATAGCGCTCTCCAAGCAGGGTAGCATCTCAGAGCGCTATATAAATGCTTGTTGTTGTTGTGGAGTCCAGTCGCTCAGTGCTCAGTGCTTCGAGCACTCGCCTCACAAGCGAGAGACTTGGGTTTGATTCCCGGCATAGCGAAACATTTCCTTACTCTACACACCTCTGTCTACACCTAAAGCAGTAAGTAGAAACCTGGTTGTTAGTCGATTGGCGGATCGCTTTCCCGGGGGTAATAAGTCCTTCAAAAAAAACTAACATAATTTGGTCACTTCAATCCACAACTGTTTGTGGGACACTGCTGTGAACAATTGGCTGCCGTGTTTCACCCACAAAATATAGTTAATTCACTTTACAGTATATTCTGTGAAGCTCTTTGAGATATCTCGTAGATGCGATAAGGCGCTATATCATATGCAAGGATTATTATTATTATTTATTATTGTAAAGAGTATAAAATGACTCTCAGTAATGTCTTCTGAAGGGCTCAGTAGGTGTACTTCTGATATGGCACTGAACCAGTCAATATGGTGCAGTATAATTGGTCTCAGTGCTCCTGGGCTAGGGACAGCGGAAAGTCAGTATAGTATCTCTTCCCTGATCACTTTCTGGTATTCCCTGGTGGAAAAGAAGAATGAGTGAACATCAAGTGGAGAACAGGATGAGCCTTAGCTTTCATTCTATCCGTGGATGATTAGTGTGCAGACTGCAGAAGGTTATTACCATGTGTAGAACTTTACCCCAGAATGAGTCAGTATATTCTGGGGAAGAGAGGAGCAAATTAAAATAAGAAGTAAATATTTTGTTTACAAAAGTTGAGAAATTGAGTTGCCTCAGCATGCAAGTTGTATAATACTCTGTGCTTAATTATCAGGTTCAAAAGGTACATCTCCATCAACAATAAGGGTACAGTGTGTGGGCTGATTATTTACATTATATGTGCACGCAGAAAGTCTTAATAGAGCTCTACTGATCATAAGTTATTTATTGTCTATTACCTACGTATAACATGCTTATAACTGACACATGCTGCTGAATCACCTAATATCTTTATTTGCAGGATAGTTGGAAGGTGGGAGTGATCAATACGTCATAAAATTTGAGCTCTTACATAAACTCATAACCGGTACCAGTTTCAGTTTACGCTGTTTATCTTGTTATTTTTGTAGTTCGATAAGGTCTTCACAAGGACAAGGTCGCTCCAGGAACTTAAATGCTTTTAGCTGTCTTACTTGGCATGCTATAGCTGGGAGGACATTGAACTTTTACCATTGTATAAACCCCATGACATCTATTTGTTTTTTCCCAATCTGATGATTGCCAAGAATGAAGCTCTAATATTGCCTTTTCTAGGAAAATGTATAACTAGCTTTGAGAACATTCATATTTTCAATTGGATCATTAAATGATAAATATGTGAACTTTTTTACATTACCATAATTTGACATACTTTGCACCCTTCTTCCTTTGTTACCATCTCACTGCCTTGTCAGTAGGGTTAGCGAGCAAACTGCCCCCTCTGATGACTTTCTCAATCCAGCCAACAAAAAGTGCATCAGAGTGGTTCAAGGTAACTCGCCCATTGATTGAACCCTCGCAAGTCCTCTCTGACTGGAGTTTATTCAATGACTAGCTAAGCTATATGGAGTGGCAGTGTTCCGGCATCACTGAAAACCCTGATCTCAGCAATGACAGCACAAGAGGATGTACAGATGTCCGCACTGGGCCCGGCAAGGTTGCTGAAAATCAGCCAGAGCACCTTGGCTGAATCATAGAATCATACAGCACAAGAAGGAGGCCATTCAGCCCATCGTGTCTGTGCCAGTGCACTCGGTGTCTCTGTGATGATGTAGTTAATATTAACCACGTCTGCTTATTGCTCCACTCTGATACGATGCTTCGAAGCATTAAGGGGCTTCGCCATAAGATGCCTCACCACTGGTTCATGAAAACAATTCCCACTGTTAAATTCTCCACCACTATTATAAAAAGATGCACTCCTACTAATATAGTATTAGATGTGCGGCAAGCACAGAATTTTGTATGATACAATGCACATTTATCTAGCGCCTTTCGTGATGGGAGGATGTGTCAGAGTGCTTTACACCACTGGCTGGACACTCAAGCTGGGAGTTGATGGGAAAGATGACCAAAAACATGGTCAAAGAGGTATGTTTTGAAGCAGGAATTGTAGTGGCAGGGCAAGTAGGAGGGATTCTGGGATAGAGTTCCAGAGAGCAGGACAGAATGACTTCAACCTTGCCTGCCAATGGTAGAATGGATAGAGTGGAGGACATGAAGCAGGTCAATGGTTGCTGGGCAAAGGGAGTGGTTGTGTCAGTAGGTTCGTAGGAGGTCACAGAGATACTTTGCACAAAAAGCATGGAAGAAGAACGAAATGAAAAACTCAAACTTACCTAAAGACGATGAGCCATTTGCACTTGCACAGACTTGCTCCAATTTATTAATCAATGTAATCAACCACTGCATCAAAATGTATTGTAGTCACTCCAAAAATGATTGGTTTAAGCAGTTCCTTCCTTAGAGAACCACCTTTCTTGTATGTACGACTAGAGGGTATGACATCTGTTCAATGTGGTTCTGGTTAGTTCAGTCAAGTATCTAAAGTTTTATTACACATTTAACACTTTGGATTGTTAATGTTTTGCTTTCTATTGGCCTTATCACAGATATAGTTTGAACAATCCAGCAAAAGCAGTTCAATAAAAAGGAAACCAGTTGAAAGATTGACTCTTGCGAGATTTAATAACAGAATATATCGATAATTAAAGACACTTCCAAGTCAGAAAACACACTTCTTTACTCTTCAAATAGGTTATCTCGTTATGTAAATATACACAAGTTGGTTAATATGTTGTAAAGTCCCTGAGTTTTAACTTTATAGATTTTTTCTGAATAGAACAAACTCCATTAGAAAGTACAGCACATATTTTGACTCTTAACAGGTTGAACATTCTGTTCCATCGATTAACCAAGGAAAATTAACCTTTAAGCATAATGATAACATTTATTATGCTTCAAGGAAAGAATTAATATATACATTTAGTCATTCAGAAATAATCTGAATATTAAGTTTTGCAACATTAAGATATTTTCTCTTGAACCTATACAAACATACAATTCGGTGAAGCAAAGAGCGGTTTGAGCAGTTTCCATTCTAACTGGAAAGTAATCACAAAAATACAAAATCAGTTTGGATGAAGATCTCGCCTTTCCATAAAACCCACCCTCTCATCTTCCTATCATCAGAGTGGGTTTGGGAACATGTGTCAGATGCCAAAATGCTGAATTGAACAGATTTTTTTGGAGCAAGTTAAAGTACAAGTTCCTAAACTTCCAAGATTCTTTCTGGTTATCTGGCATATCTTACTTCTTTTGGGAAGAAAAAGCAGTACAAGCAGCCACCAGCCATCGATTACATCTTAACTCTGCAGTATATTAAATACCAGTGTCGCACACTATCACTTTATGATTCTCTAGCTAGGGAAATTGCCCACTGAGTAGCTTTGACAGAATAACTTGTATTACTCAATGTCTTATCAGCTCAACCTTCATGGTGAAATAGCAATAATCCTACATGGGTCACTGAACATGTTGTAATCCTTCAACTCCCACAACACTCTTTGGCCTTGCACTCCCTATTTAGCTGATTACAAAGTGCTGAGGTGAACGAGTGTAGCAGAACAGTGCTCTCGAAGAATCTCAGATCTCCTGAAAAGAAAAAAAATTATTTGACTATTTATTCGAAGACGAAAATATCAAAAATAATTTTTATAACACTTTTAGTCGAACAACCGGCTTAAAAATCTTGTATTTTATACCTCAACGTCTCAATAATGCGACTGGAAGTTCTCGACCTGGAATCATAATCCCAGAGTGTAGTATTTCTACATCGTCTTCATCAGTGGCTACAACTCTGTACTTCTGTATCAGCTGCAAAGCAAAGAAATCCCAAATTGCAAAAGGCTTTCTTTCACTCTGGCTAGTTATTTGACTTAAAAGTATAAGCAGATGCAGCAAAAGTGAACCTTCGTCACTCACCCAGCAAAGGGCCAATTGTAGCTGTAGCTCTGCTAACCTCCAGCCAATACACATCCTCTTCCCAACGCCAAATGGTACGTGTGCGAAGGGGTTGATCGCCCGGCTCTCCCGTAACCATCGCTCTGGCTTAAACTGATCTCCATCGTGAAAAGATTCTTCATTGCAGCTCAAAGCATGATTGTTTATCATTAGTATGGTCTGTGATGAAAGTAAGAGGTTTCTCCATTATTTGCCATGAGAAGAATCTCTTGAAAGACATCACTAAACCGTTCCGCAAAGTAAAGATGGAAAATGTGTGTTTCTTTTGCTCTTGACTTTTATGATTACAACAGTGTTTAACTCTTTAACATATATAGCCCAAGGATTCAATTTCAGGCATCACTTTATTGCAGTTATAGTTACTGTAATAACTGGTATTGGTAAATTGTTGCCTCATTTTTCCGTTTACTACAACGACTGAAGAAATAGTTCAATTTTGCAGATAATTGTTTGAATTGTGGTTCACGCAGCGTTAGCTGATCTTACCAGAGGCACCAGTTGGCACATTATAATTGACCGCATCATTGATGGAGAAAGGGAGAGGATAGTATCAAATAGGCTCATTTGTAGGTGTCACGAGAGGATGGGATATTATGCTCTTGGGGGTTTGAGGACAGTGCTGAAACTCATTGTATTGGCTTGCATTGAAAGTTTGGTGAGGTGCTAGATGTTGGCTGTCTGCCTGGCTGGTACACTTACAACCAGAGTACAGCAAAGAATTAAATCTGTTGAGGGTGAGAACACTGACAATTGATACATCACCTGCTATATGACTTAAGTCACTTGTCTCTCAATACAGCATGTCAAATAACAGTTAACTATTACTATAAGATGAAAGTTTTTTTCAAAATAGTTACAGCTCTACACAGTTTAATACATTGTTAAAAGCAATTGAAGGTTTAATTGAGTTATGTTGTGATTTTGTTGTGCATCAACTGAGACTTACTCCTTTAGGTAGCAGGTAGTCACCGAGAACAATCTCTTCATCCAGTGTTCGACTTGTGAAGGGCACAGAAGGAGTTATCCTAAAATAGACATTTGACATTGGTAATGGTTATTTTGCAATCAATGTAGCATTAAATCTGCACTTACCAAAGAATAGAAATAGTCTTCAAGGTAACCACAGTTAGTGTATGTTAGAAGATGCACAAGGCATTTGCAAAGTTTCGGCTTGATAAAAAGTAGGTATCATAGTGTATTTAAAACCCTGAGAAACAAATGAACGGCCGCAGGTATAATAATTTACCCAATGGGTGTGTAATTGACACATTTTGTCTCCAAGATTCTCCAAATGTTACAGATAAAACTACACTTCTATACATTGGTTCACAGAAGTATTTGCTGTTTATGTGAGTTGACAACCCAGTGAAGGTGCTGGTGCTAAGTATGGAAAGGACTTGTAATTAAATTGCTTAGTTATGATTCCCTGCATGCCAAGTCCCCAGTCTTGTCTAAGCTGTCAGGAGAAGGTCGAAGATTTATTGGAGGGTGGTTGAAGAAAGGGTAAACCAGAAACCAAAGCCAGTTTTGTGCATGTCCAAGTGGGCTGCTCATGATCAGCATTGTCAGAAAACAGTGCGTGGCACAGGGCAGAACAAATAACAGAGGTGAATTGAATGAACTAAGACCATAATAATGATACATAATCTTGTCACACAAACCTCATGGACTCCTTCAGACAAGCCTTTAGAAAAGGCATTTTCTTAATGTCTTCTGCAGTTGGTATTTGGTTTTCAGTTAGTGTGTTCTGTATTTCCTGTAGAAGTTTGTCTTGCGCCTTGGGATTTCGAGACAAATTAAAGATAGCCCATAGTAAACTGTTAGCAGTCTGAAACAGAAGATAGGAGTAAACATTACTACCTCAGTTTTTTTTTGTTTCTCCTTTAAACATATAATACATCATGTGCCACAGCTATTCTTGGGAGGCTCTTTGGAATTCTGATACACATATTTAATGTTGAGTAAAAATATAGCTTAATTTGTGAGCAATAATTTGAAACTTATTTTTTCCCCTGTGAATTTTCTTCCCTCCTGTCTTTCTTGACGACATATTTAATTCTACTTTTCCTTCTGCTGGGTTACAGTTCCACAGGTGCCCTCTAGTATCTTGCTCAAAAAATCATTACCGTGGAGATACATTAGATGCAATAGAGACTAGTGAGAGAAAGCATAACAAAGATAATTGTGATGCAGGGTTTGAATGAAATATACAATAGAACTCTGTTTATTACGCAATCATTAGGGTCCATAAAATAGCGATCAGAATATTACCGTTTCCACCCCTCCAATCTGTAGTTCAGTGATGGCAGCGTACAGTTCTTTCCTTGACAGTTCATTGTCATAGTAGATCTCCGACAGAAAATCATTGGCCGGGCAGGAGGAGTGTCTGCTCAGTCTTTTGTCAATGTAGTGTTTTGCTGCAACACAAACAAGAAAACTGCTTTTAAAATTCTGCACATATTGTACCTTCATAGAACCAGGTTAGTACACAAAGTCTTTAACCTTAAGATATGAAAGGCGTTTCCCCAAATGATAACTACTAGGAACACATATTTCTGGAGGCAATGGCATTCATTCGCAGAAATAGATGTGGGAGGTTCTCAAAGCATTTCTTTGAAATTCACATATTTTGTTGGTGAGGCCATTATTTTATTCAACTTTATTGAAATGCATGAAGCCACCATAACTTTTTGTGCCTTCCCATTCTTGTCTTGGAAGCATCACAATTTAGCATGATCTTCCTCTCACTCAACATCCACACTCAACTTCCAGTAAAGGTTTCTAGCTAACAAATTCTTGCTTATTTTTGTAGCATCTTATCATGTCACAGCATCTCAAATTGGCAAATGCAATTGGGTTTAGTGATCATTTGCGCCTGAAAGGTCCCACCAACAGCCACGAGTTGACAGTCCAATTGATCTGGTGGATTATTAGCAGGACCCAAGGAGTGATACCCTTCTATTTCAAATAGTATTGTGGGATCTTTAAATCCCACCAAACAGGCAGACCAGAGTAAGGTTTTAACACTTCAGTGGAAAGATGGAATCTCTGATATTGCAGTGCTCCACCTATACTACCCTGGAGTGTCAGCCTAAGACTATGAGCTACTGTACAGTATTTTATAGGGTTAATACATGTTGTATCCACAACAAGTCATGTTCAAAAGTAGTACCTTATCTACTGCTGTAAGTGCTTTCACTACTGAAACAGGAAAGTGGGTGTGTTGGTCAATAGTGTCTGGAATGAATAAGCTATGTACGTATTGCTGTCAGTTCAATGACCCAGTCACTGCCTCATGTTAACCTTAGACTGCTATAAACATTTGGCTCCAATGCCCTGTTCCAGGTCATTCAGTTTATTGGTGCAGAACTGGTGACTGATTCTGACTGCTTTCATTACAGTGAAATGGCATCAAATTCAGTGTTCAATTACCCAACTTAGAGAAATCAATTAAAGAAATATGGGGGTGGGGGAAAGGAGGGGAATGTGACATGTGATCACAGGTAATAATTATCACATTACTAAAAATTACATGTTTATAACTCCTTTCACGTCGAGAGGACGCCCCAAGGTTCTGGACAATCAATGTTTCAGACCGATCTGGTGGTCTAGATCAGGGAGGGTGGATGGCAGGTGGGGGAAGGAAGGTGATCGAAGGCACGGTTGAAGAGATGAGTCTTGAAGGAGACAAGGGAGGGGATGATGCGGAGGGACTGCGGGATGAGTTCTAGAGGGTGAGGGCAGAGTGGCTGAAGGCTGAATATGATTTCCTGAGAATAATCATCCAATATAACTGTCCTCAAGGTCAGTTGTGTATAAAGCATGAAATATCATTGCAACCCTTACATGATAAGGTTTATGCATGCATAGAATGCAGTACCAGAACTTCTGTTGCTGCAAGCAGTACTGCCATGTGAGTGCTACTCATAGTGAAGCTGGTGACTTGATATAAAAGCAACATTAAATAAGAACTGATATAAAATAATGATATTAAATAAATATTGCGGCAATTTCATGAAAATTGCAATGGAGGTCTTGTCTTCAAAGAGCAGCTCAAACACAAACCGTAAAACACTTCTTCAGTTCTTTCAAGAATCAAGTGACCTGGAAGTTTCATCATCTGATGCAGCACGGTGTAGCATGAAAGCTTATAAAAACAGAACAATTCATTAGCAAGCAAACTACAGGACTACTCTAATGTTTAAGGAACTGTGAGCTATGAAACCCTTTGCGGAGTCACTGTGGAAGTCAACTTTTATGGGATAATTGTATTCTACACTTTGTTGATTTGATTAAATACTGTTTTTGCTGTAAGCAGCCCCTAGCATTTTATTGGAGCGTCAGCCTGGATTATGAGTTCAAAGTCTCAACACTTGAAGCTTATATCTTTGACATGAATATCATTTCCGGTTTACGTGACATTATTAATGGATCTCTTCAATCAAGCATCTATACCTGTTTTGAATATATTGTCCCAGGCTTCTGTATGGTCCTTCCACGTCTTTGTGTTAAAACATTTATGGAGTTCAACTGGGGTCACCATCATTTTACCAAACGTGCTCATCATCTAAAGTGTGGACAATGACAAGAGCATGTTATTCAGAATGTACAATCATTTGCAATTCCCACATAAGAAAATGGAACGCATTATGAAAGCTTATACTTCTGTCAAACTGAAATGTCTTGTTGTGTTGTGCTTCATTGTGTTGTCTTGTAACCTGTTCTCACTTATACCAAAATAGGTGACCTGTTTCTGCCAAATGTATTCGGTTGGGTGTCCTGTTAAAATATCTAGCTCTACTATTTCAATTCTGTTGGATATTTTGATAACACATGAAGCAGTTGAACAGTTCCATTGTATAAATTTCTGATGGATTTGCGGAAACACTGTTCCCGGGCTGGTTGCTTTGACTACCAAAACAATGTACTTGTTTGTGTACTTACAGTTTTAATAGCCTTGATGAAGTTTAAGGATTCTTCGACCACATGCCGTTCCAAAAGGCCAAACCTTTTATCATATAACACCAGGCAGATTGCTGCAATTAAAAAGTTGCTGATAAATGCCCAAATATAATCGTCAAATTATTCAACCTACGTTCTTTAAAACTGCATCGTATTTTCACAGTGTTTTGCTTGTATGTAGTCTTTCTTTAATAAACGGGTGCAAATAAACATTTCAATAAAATATATTTCCAGCTTGTGGCATAAAAATAAAAGTGTCTTGAGATCTACTGAAATATGTATTCATTTTTGACTTCCTAGTTTCTTCAATGTGTCATTGGGTTGGTTTATTAATGTGCTGCCTTATCAGATGACAGAACATGGGTTTGTGCGGGAACCCTCACTGGAAGCTTTAAATCTCGCCCAGACATTGGAGCACATGGTGGAACCTAGGTTCCTCTCCCTGGAACCTCACTGGAAGGGGCAAAGCTGATCATCCATTCAACAAAGTTGCTGCTTATCCTCTTTCCTTGCAGTTACTTGGAGCTCACATAGGCTTCTACCTCTGAGCTACAGCCAGCGGGTATAGCCAGAGGTCTGGATCAGTAAGTTAAACAGGAAAAAACTAATGAAATTGAGATCCCTCTCATTATTTAAAAAAAATGCTTTCTACTGAGTGTCGTCTTTGTGAAGATGTTCAAACTGTTACAGCCCGGGGTCAATTTCTGGAATCCACCTTAGGTGTTGACACAAGTTGATCTGTGTTCTTTGCCCCTTAGGTGTGCAATCCCACATCACCCTTAACTGTCAGGAAGAAACACTTTCAACAGGAATAGTTCTATAGCTGAATTATTTTAGCTGCTGATCATGTATTTGGGGAACAATAAATGCTGTGCCACGGTGGCGAGCTATTTCAGATTTGATAGACCTGGGAGAAACAGTGACTGTGCCCTTCAGTAAAGGCGAGTAAATAGTTAATTTACTGGGAAAGGACTGCAATTAGCTGGAAACAGTTTTGCACAAGGTGCTACGGTCACAACTCGATATCGCCTTATCTCACTTCCATTTAGAATTTTAGTTCATCCTCGAACACACTGGTGAATCACAGTGAACACAAAAACACTTCTAATCCAACAGCCTCTCGTTTATCTGCACGGATCAAAAAATACTTTCAAAAGACGTACTTTCAAAAGACCATTTGTTCAGTTCGTGGTACAAGTCATCAATCCTGCCGGTCTCATCGCGGACCTCCTCAATTTTCCCCATGAAATCCTTTAGAACCTGTGAGAGATTCCATCATTACAAATTGGTGGCTTGTCGAAAGTTTGGTGAGAATTGACGCTGACATTCGCACGCACCGTGATCTGGGTTATTCCTCCCTCCAGCCATTGATCAAAGGTTAATTTCTTAAGCATGTTTCATTTTAATAATATATAGATATAAATAAAACTGCGTACGAATGTGTTTATTTCCCCGTTTAATAATGACAAGCCTATACAATGTTCCTTGCCAACACACAACTGAGCAAACAGGGGGGCAAACATACTGAATAAATCCAAGAACAAACACTGAAGAGAGAAATAGCTGACATCAAAGACAATCAATTAATCAATCAATCAATCAATCAATAAATAGCAGTAGAGAGATAAACTATTTTGTCCCACTGACAAAGTGATGGACTGAAATATGCCTCGTGATTGTGTTACATACATATATACATACATTGCAAAATATTGTCACATCTCACGCCCATGACAATGCTTACAATTAACTCTTTTAAGTCAATTGCTCTTCAATAATAACTGTTCATTTGTACTGTATCTATAATTTTTCATTAAAAAAAAAGTTAGGCATTTTTCGTTCGGTTCCAAAACAAACCACATTTGATTGCCTTGTGCAATCATTACTCTTAAGGCTTGAAACCCCCCCACCCCACACCCCCACCACCCCACCACCCCACTCCTCCACACCCCCCACCACCACCACCACCACTTCTGGCATTCTTTTAATCGAGTTGCATCAATAAAAAAACACACACCGAAAGCAGGAAGTTTATAAAATAGATCAAATACATGTGTGAGACGTATATACATTGGAGGGGGGGGGAGAGAAAAAAACAACCTCAATCTTGAATCTCAAGAGGGAAGACACCAAAGGGTCTGTGACAGTTGCAGGTGCTGACTTACCCCATTTATTTTCCCATCGAGTTTGACCACTTCTGTGGGTTTCATCAGCTTTTTCTGAAACACACTCCTGACTCTTTGCCATTCTTTTCCTTCTCTGAGGACAAAAAGGAGGAGAGGGGAAGGAGGGAGGGAGAGAGAGATAGAGATAGAGAGAGAGAGAGAGAGAGAGGACTTGGTGATATTCCAGATAAAACAGTTAAACTAACACACACCCCTCTCCCCCTCCTCCTCTCCCCATGAGATACCAATACACCACCAGTTTAATGACTGGGAGTCCTGATAAAAAAAAATTGCTCTCTCCCCCTTTTGAACCCATTCTTCGCCCTTTTGAACCCATTTATCCACGAACGTCTCGATAAAGCCATAACGATTTCTTTCTGAGCGTAACAGTAAAATAAAACACTCGCGACTTCATTGGGGGGTTGGATTTTTGCATCGAAATGCATATTCTTTTGGGGTGAAGGGGTCGAAAAAAAGAAAAGGAATCCATCACAATGTACAGGGGTGACCCCCCCACCACCCCCCAAAAAAAAAAAGTCGTGAGAACTATCCCCGTTGATCCAAAACATACGCATTATCATCGATTCGGGATTTTTTCGGACGTTATAAGGGTTATCACGACTTTTGGGTCACTGTGTGCACTGCACCAGAGGAGGTCGGGGTTGCGATGTACAGTACTTACAGGATAAGTAGTCCATATGCTTCGTCCCTGTAGTCTCTATAGGCTTTCCATGGTTTAATCTCCAGGCGTTGGGGGTATTTGCTCTCTTTACGGAAAAGGGCTTCGAGGAGACGGGGATCACCGATGTTCACTGATTCGAAAGATCCCAATTTCATTTTAAAAATCTTCCCAAATTTCTTGTGGTAGTGGAGCTGGAAAGGCAAAGGGGACGATGTGGAATAATAGCGACCAGGATATATTTTTTTTTGGGTGGGGGGGGAAGGGAAAAAAAAAAGTCATTGATTGATTTCCATCATTTGATTTGATTTGATTTGATTTGCAAAGAAAATGCACAACTTGTGGCACAACTTCATCGCCCTGAGAAATGCCATCTGTCAAGTTTTGCAATTGCTCAGGTTTTTATTCTCTTAAAAGAAAACAGGTAAATAAATGGGTGAAACCAACCGATCCATGGGTTCAATTTGAGTATTTTCCTTTTTTTTTTGGAGGGGGGAATGGTGGGGGGGGGGAGGGGGGGGAGAGGGGAGAGAGAGAGAGAGAAAGGTGGTGAGTGGAGGAGGTAAAAATGAAATTATTGGCCATCCTAATAAAAAAAATTGGGGGTGGGGGTGGTGGGGGGTGGTGGGGGGGGGGAATGAAAGAAATATATTATTTACCATCGTAATATTTTTGGAGGGCGAGAAAAGCAAATATAAAATGATTTGCAATCGTTAACATATTTGTTGGGGGTGGTGGGGGGGGGGGGGGAGGTGGTGGGGGGGGGTGGTGGGGGGGGGGGTGGTGGGGGGGGGGTGGGGGGGGGGGTGGTGGCGGAGGAAAGCAAATATCACATTATTTGGAGGGGGAAAGGAAAGGAAATCAAAAATTAAATACATTTGCAATCTCAATAGGAAATATACAGTTGATTGACTCTCCCCCCACGACCCCCTCTTCCTCTCCTCTCCTCTCCCTCTCTCTCCCATCTCTCCATTTACCAGGGTTTCGTGCTGCCTTTTGAGCCCTCCTTTCCTGATGATCTCCAACAAGTTGCCCACCACTGGCCACCTGGTGGGACCGGGCATGGAGGTGTGCCCGCAAGGCGCCTCCACAGGAGAGATGTCCTTCTCCAGGGCGCAGGAGGCAGCTGGTCTCCCAATGTGGTGTTGCAACCTCATCCCTCTCTGTCTCGAAAACTGCGCAAAGCAATTCACATGTTTCATCTGAGATCGCATTGGTTTCACCTTCCCAACGAAAGATGATGATGAGGACAAGTGTTGTGTTTGCCTCTCGTTTGGTTGTCTACCTTGGAGAGAGGGGGGGAGTGGGTATCTATACTTGTGTTGGATCTTCTGCCACATATATAGATGCGGCGGCTTCTGTTGTGCACAAGGCTCAGCCAATGGAAAAAGTTCCCTGGTTGGTGTGGCTGTCGAGCCCACCATTCATTTCTGGAAACAGGTGGTGGTTGGGGGTGGAGGGGGGGAGAGACGGCCAAGAGAGTGCAACGAACTCATACAGATCCAGGAAGAGATTGGCAACTCCAGGTCCATCCTTGATTGACTGACTTATTAACCACACCACCAGGCGCATGATCTGCAGAGCACTGTGGATTCAGCTTCGTGCAAGATCAATAAGTTGGACATCAGTCCTTTCCCCCCCCCCCCCCCCCCCCCCCACCCCAGTGAAAATTACAACCACCCCCCCAAAAAAAAAATAATGGTATGCTGCCAATCTAGAAGAAGTCGCCCTGTGTTCCTGAACACACACAAAAAAAAACAATGAGCATCAGGTAGGTGTTACCCAAGGTTAAAAAAAAATACTGTTTTTTTAAATATATATATATGGAATCAATCTCCCTCCCCCTCTCCATGGCTCAGTTACTAAAGACATTGCCTCATGTGAAACCAAACTCAGGAGCTGCCAAGTTGATCATGATCTATGCTGAATAGGCTGGTCTCAGCCAAGGCACCAACAAGGCTGCTGCAATTGAACTCGTTGCTCTCCTGGTTAGGGAGGGAGAGAGAGAGAAAAGAAGTGATCCGACCGAGGTTATCGCCTTCTGATCGGATCAAGTAAGTAGGAACCCAGTCGTTGGTCGATTGGCGGATCGCTTTCGGGGTTTGACAAACCCCTCAAAAAAATATCGGCCGTGACTGAGCACTGTGTACGCAATCGGATTCCACGTTTCGCCCGCAAAATACACAATCGGTACACTTTACAACATATTCTGTGAAATGCTTTTGAGATATCTCAACGGCTTGATAAGGCATTATATGAAATGCAAGGATTATTATTATTATTAATTTAAATGACTCTTGGTAGCAGGTGAATCCTTAAGCAAGGAGAGGGTCAAGCTTTATTGTGATGCCCGCCACTCTCCCTCATTGCTAAATAGCCTGCAGCCATTCATTCACTCCGAAGGCTCACTTAAGAGGGATAGTAACTTGGGAGAGACAATGGAGGGGAATATACTTGTGGAATAATATGCCAGCATGATCCACCCTCCACTGGACAAGAAGGAAAACTGGAGGGTGACAGCCAAACTTTATTTAGTTTCCATTTGGGTACACTCATAAGGAACATTGGATGGCTGAAGAATAGATGAGATATGAGTCACATTATACTCACGTGGGTTACATTACACTTCTGTAAAGACCTGTTTAACTGGCTTGTGACTCAATCATACATAGATTTATTGGCCCTTTCATATTCCTGTAATATAATCTATTGTCCCCATCTCTGTGGATTGTACTTGGAGTATCAACCAAAGGTTGATCTTTCTAAAAAATAATTTTCTAGAAAACAGATGATCACATTTCCTAGAATTAGGATATGTGATCAGCTGCATTTGTTCTTTTAAAAATAACGCAGAAAAAAAGCACTGTAGATGCAGAAGCATTGTTGACTGATTTATGAAAGAAGAATTTGTATTATTAGATGTTCTTACAAAACACTGATTATATTTCAGATTAAGACCCCTGAACAGTAAGATCATATTTCTACAAATCACGTTAGTTATCACACATCTTTTTGTTAGTAAATACAAACACACCCAAATCCTTTTATCCAAGTCTTTGTAATGGACACCTCTTCACTGTGTATGTGTTTGCTCCTTTTTGTTTCGATGTACAGTACCTTACACTTGTCTACAATAAAATCTATCCACCACTCCTTGACCCGTTTGTTTAAATGGCCCACTTATTCTTGAATATTATTTATTCTTCTTGTTTTATTTACCTGTTCACATAACTTGATATCAGCACATTTTATAAATAGCACAAAAATATTCTCCACAAGTCATTGATGGTTAATGTGATCAAGGGATGCAGAACAAACCTTTGTTGAACTATAAACTCACTACCATCTGGATATAGCTTCTATTTTTCACATTCTCCTTCCTGTGTGCTAAATTAGCTGTTGATCGAATTACCCAATTTACGATTCATTCTCCGAACAATAAGCTCTTTTAAGTCTTACATAAAAAATGTTATAAAATGTTTTTTTGACTTGATTGCCCTTATCCACTGGTTCAGTTTCTTCATCAAAGAACTGCATTATATTTACACAGATTTACATAAAATGTTCAGCACACAAACTGGCCATTCTGCCCAAACAGACAGTGCCGGTGTTTTACTCCAATTGAGTCTCCTCCCACTCCTTAATCCTTCCTTACCTTTCCATTCCCTTCTCCCTTGTTTGAATATCTAGCTTTCTCTTAAATGCACATATACCTCATTGATTCAACCACCACTTCAAGCATAATTTCACAACCCTATTTGTGACACATAACTATTGCTTCTAAACTCGCGTTGACTGCTTCTTCTAAGTCTCTGGTCCTTCGATGAGCATTCATCGCACTCTATATATCCATTTAAGCATATACTTTCCTGAAATCTCCTGAAGGTATTGATCATTTTGCCCCCCTTCTGTTGCAATAAGGTTCCAAAGGCACCAGGTGCCCTCAAAAATCCTACCCAAGCTGTTAACATTTGTGTTTGAGCTATGATGGTGAATATTGGCAAACTGTGGTATGACTCACTGAATAAACTCAATGAACTATCATGGAACATTTTTTTATTTAAGACAAGAGTAAACTTAGATACTAAGGTCATCACATTTCTTAACCTACGAAATGTGATCATAAAGTTTGTTTTGGGAAATCTCTTCCTCATTTCCAGGTGTTTGCATCTACGTAGAAATAGTCCAACATTTCAAATGGAATTTTGCTTCCTTTGAAAACTCAAGATACCGACCAGCCCTTCAATCATCTGTTGACCAGAAAATGCTGTTATGATTAAGCTGTATTCTGTGGCTAATAACTTAGCAGTGATGCTTGTGCATTTAAAGATAAATTAAATTTGCATAATTCAGTCACACGTTTTGTGCATGTACATATGCTGGGTTTGTTAAAATTGTTTTTCTGCTCACTTTTCCTGAAGATCTTCTTAGGGTGTGGCTCCTCAAAGATTGACGTCTCTATACCTCATCCAAGTGACAATTATTCATATGTGAGTGCAATAAATGTTGGCAGGCTCTTCATGTGTGGTGGGTATCAAAGCCACCCCTATCCCATCTTCATTCAATGCTAATCTTACCCAATGTCCAAACATGCAGACTTTCTAACAGAGGTTTAAGTCCAAACCTAGTCCTTTCTGATCTGGATGGTCAGTACTACACCAGGCAGTTTATTTACTCAGGGATCCATCAAAAGTTGCTCTCTTTTTCTGAATATTTTGAACGAAGACTAAATAACAAATAATGGAAATTATTTCAGGCTGGTTGATTTTCATGGTAAATTTACCATGTTACGCTTTTATGCTAAATCAGAACAATAAGCAGACTTTATATTACTTAAGATAAAGCAATTATAGAGTTTTGTATTACTTTGAAAAGTCCAATTGAGATGTAACTATGTAGGATATTATTTTTGCATATTGAGCATCTTTTGGAAAATAATAATGATCAATAATAACATTGTGTTTCAGTTTCATTAGCTGTAAATGTATTATATTCTTGCTTCTAAGCCCAGTGATTCTTTCTATGTGACAGGACAAAGTAGATTAACAGGTTTAACAGACGTTCAGTCAGGTCAAAATAGTGTCACTGAGTTCTTTCCAATGCAATCCTATCAGAAAGTCTTTGCCAAGACAAGTTTGTGAAATTTTTACCAGCTTCATTAACCATAGACCTATTGAACTAGACTGCCCTCCACAGGCTGGAGCTATTTCTTCACTCATGGAACGCAATCAACCCAATCTGATCTGTAGATCTCTACTGCTACTGAGTTGTAAATTCCTTTTCTCATTTAGTTTATTAGCACACGCTAGCTATGTGAAATTCTCCACATTCTCAACGTGGCTTGACAGTGTGCTTTACAATGCATTAGTACTCAAGAAAAATTGGCTGCAATAAAAGCATTATATAACTCTTGGTTCTTAACACTGGGTGAAATTTTCCAGAAACTATTCACATGTGGAACAGGCCATTACTATTAGCAGCTACATTGGTAGAATGGGCATAAAGGTACAATCATCTCCTCCTCTCATGTATCTTATCAAGGCCTTTAAAACACTGCTTTGTTACCATTTCCGTAGTGTTCTTTGTTGGGCGTAGTTGTTCGATACCCATTAAGTCAATAAGGACCCGTTGAGTGGGACCAATGGAAGGGGATCCAGAGGTGAAAAAGCAGGAAGAATTGAGTAGAGGGTTTTTGGTTGGATTTGTAACTTGTGAGCTGAAATAAGTTTTCTACACATTGATTGTTGAGAATTTAAGTGGTGATCGTTTCATTATTGAACTATTGATCAATGGCTGCTGAGTGGTATAAGGAGCCAAAATCTGGCAAAGCTTATCGTGGAAACCACGGTGACGATCACTAACTAATAATTTGCATTTATCTGGCGTTTTGGATTGGGGGGGGGGGAGGATGTCTCAAAACTGCTCCACAGAGCTGAGTGTGAGCCCGAGTTGAGGACGAGTGAGTTTGGTGGGTAAAGTGGCTAAAAGTGCAGTTGAAATGATTAACTTCTAAGAGTTTTGAAGGTGGGGAAGTGAAGGGCGAGGTGGATGGAGGCTGGCGTTTGCTGAGTGGACGGGAGACGCCGGAGCAGTTTGGGTGATGGGTCCAATGGCCCTGAGTGGGATTGCCCCGACTGTGGGGTGACAGCAGCTTCAACTGTTTGGCTCCATGTGCAATTTCAGGGACTAAATGGGGACTCTTCCACTGTGAGTCAGTTATGTGTCTCCCCACCTCATCACCCCCTCCCTCCTCATCCCCTCTTCACCCCCTCCCTCCTCATCCCCCCTTCACCCCCTCCCTCCTCATCCCCCCTTCACCCCCTCCCTCCTCATCCCCCCTTCACCCCCTCCCTCCTCATCCCCCCTTCACCCCCTCCCTCCTCATCCCCCCTTCACCCCCTCCCTCTCACCCCCTCCCTCAACCCCCTCCCTCCTCATCCCCTCTTCACCCCCTCCCTCCTCATCCCCCTTCACCCCCTCCCTCCTCATCCCCTCTTCACCCCCTCCCTCCTCATCCCCCTTCACCCCCTCCCTCCTCATCCCCTCTTCACCCCCTCCCTCCTCATCCCCTCTTCACCCCCTCCCTCCTCATCCCCTCTTCACCCCCTCCCTCCTCATCCCTTCACCCCCTCCCTCCTCATCCCCTCTTCACCCCCTCCCTCCTCATCCCCCCTTCACCCCCTCCCTCCTCATCCCCTCTTCACCCCCTCCCTCAACCCCCCCTTCACCCCCTCCCTCCTCATCCCTTCACCCCCTCCCTCAACCCCCACCTTCACCCCCTCCCTCCTCATCCCCTCCCTCTTCACCCCCTCCCTCCTCATCCCCTCCCTCCTCATCCCCTTCACCCCCTCCCTCAACCCCCCCTTCACCCCCTCCCTCCTCATCCCCTCTTCACCCCCACCTTCACCCCCTCCCTCCTCATCCCCTCCCTCTTCACCCCCTCCCTCCTCATCCCCTCTTCACCCCCTCCCTCAACCCCCTCTTCACCCCCTCCCTCCTCACCCCCCCCCCATCCCCCGCACTCTTTCCCCCCTTCCTCAACCGACCCCACAAGCGAAAGCGGCAATAGGAAGCCCCCGCGGGTTCGCGGGCGGAAGTGTCGCCGGAGCTTCCGGTAGGAGGAGGTTTGAGGCGGGGAGTGTGTGTGGAGGGAGGGGGGGGGGGAGAGGGGGAGCAAATGTTTAACCCTCAGTTAGAGTCGCCTCCGGGGCCGCGCGGCGACAGTGACAGGAGCCGCCGCCGCCGCCCGAGCTCGACCGGGGGAGGGGGGGAAGAAAAAAAATAATAAATAAATAAAATAAAAGGGCGGTTCGGCCATGAACTCGGGCGGACAGAGCGACAGCTTCGCGCCGGCGCCGTGTGAGTAACGGCCGGGGCCGGGGTGGGGGGGGAGAGTGCCTGTATTCAGGGGGCGGGGCGGGGCTGGGAGCCCGGGCCCGCCGGCTGCCCCGCTGCTTCAGCCCCGGAACCTGGGTAGCCGAGCAGGCCAGGGAGCCCGGGAACCTGGCTATGGCTAAGGCCCAGGGTGGGGAAGGGGAGAGGAGGGGGGGGAGTGCGAGCAACTCAGGTTCCCGGGCCCCGGCGCTGCGTTATGGGTGGACACACGTTCAGGGGCTCTCTCGCTCTGTTGGCGGCGGCGCTTTGATCTGTTAGACACAGTGTGAGTGTGGAGTCGCCTCTGACCCCCTCCCACCCCCCCACCCCCCCCACTGCACCCCCACACCCCCCCACTGCACCCCCCCCACCCCCCCACTTCACCCCCACCCCCCCCCACTGCACCCCCTCCATCCCCCCCCACTGCACCCCCTCCATCCCCCAACCCCCTGCCCCCCACTGCACCCCCTTCACACCCCCACCTCCCGAACCCCCAACCCCCCACTGCACCCCCTTCACACCCCCACCTCCCGAACCCCCAACCCCCCACTGCACCCCCTTCACCTCCCCAACTCCCACCCCCCCCCCACTGCACCCCCTTCACACCCCCCACTGCACCCCCTTCAACCCCCCACCTCCCCAACCCCCACCCCCCCACTGCACCCCCTTCACCTCCCCCACTGCACCCCCTTCACACCCCCACCTCCCGAACCCCCAACCCCCCACTGCACCCCCTTCACCTCCCCAACTCCCACCCCCCCACTGCACCCCCTTCACACCCCCACCTCCCGAACCCCCAACCCCCCACTGCACCCCCTTCACCTCCCCCACCCCCACACACCACTCTGCTCCTCCCCCTTACCCCACTGAATTGACATATTCCACTTTGCCCAGGTACCCACCTTCTCCCCCCCCCCCCCCACCCCCCCCTCCTTCTCAACGCCCTGGGACGTCCTCTCGATATTTAAAAATGTCATTTGTTAATTCTCGCTCTCTTCCGGCTTCACGAGTTGTCGGTCTACATTTTTTTTAAATCGGCCGGTAGTTTCGGAGGATTGAAAGATTTTAAAATGATAACTTAGAATAATGTCAATTTCTTAATTTGCCAACACTTACAAATTGGTTTATTTACCACGGTTACTCATACTGTCCTTCGCCTTAACAGTCTCGCAGTTAATCCTGCAGCTGGAAACTGCTCTTTCTATTCCTTGCAACAACAACAAAATTACTTTTCTAAAGCGCCTTTCACGTCAGGAGGATGTCCCAACGCTCTGGACAGACAGAGTTACGGACCCGAGCTGAGGGTCGGGGTGGAGGATGGGGCAGGGCAGGGGGAGAAGCAGGGAGATCGAAAGCATGGTCGAAGAAGAGGGTCTTGAGGTGGGTCTTGAAGGTGGCGAGGAAGGGGGCGAGACGGAGGGACCGCGGGATGGAGTTCCAGGGGTGGGGGCAGAGTGGCGTTCGTCCCGCCCGCCAATAGTGGGGCGAGCAAGGTGGGGAACGTGAAGCAGGCCGGAGCCCGCTGAGCCGAGGCAGCAAACAGGGGGTAGGGGAGTTAAGAGGTCACAGTGGTAGGGGGGAGCAACACCATGGAGGGCTTTGAGCGTGACGACCAGGATCTTGAACTGTATCCTCTGTGTGATGGGAAGCCAGTGGAGTTGGGCAAGGATGGGGCTGATAGGGTTGAGGAGCCCGGTGCGGGAGAGGACATGGGCTGCAGAGTTCTCGATGATCTGCAACCTATGGAGAGAGGAGTTGGGGAGGCCGACAAGCAATGGGTTTGCATAGTTGGGTCTCGATGTAATGAAAGCATGCATGAGGGTTTCGGCGGCCTGGGCTGTGAGACAGTGGTGGAGCCCGGTGACGTTGCGGAGGTGGGAGAAGGCAGAGTGGGTCATGGGGTAGAAAGGATAGTTGAGGATCAAACAAGACCCCAAGGTTCCAGACTGGCTTAGCAAGGTGGAGTATGTAACCATGGATGGTGATGCTGTCAGCGCCTGAGGTGAAGAGGCGCTGACGGGAGTCAATCAGGAGAACCTCGGTCTTGTTGACGTTCAACTGAAGAAAGTTAGCTCTCATCCAGGACTTGATGTCTGATAGATAGTCTGTCAGGACAGCAGTGGTCCTGGAGTCAAGAGTGGAGGCGGAGAGGTAGAGTTGGGTGTCATCCACATACATGTGGAAGTTGACCCCATGTCTGTGGATGATGTCAGTCACCAAGAGGGAGCATATAGATATTGAAGAGGAGGGGACCAAGGACAGAGCCCTGAGGAACTCGGCATGAGACAGTCGGGGGGCGAGAGGTGAAGCCGTTTGAGGAGATGAAGGGTATGAGAGGTACGATCTGAACCAGTCAAGGACAGCCCCGTGGAGGTTAAGGTGAGAGGAAAGGTGGTGAATGAGGATAGAGTTGTCAACGGTGTCGAAAGCAGCAGAGAGGTCTAGGAGAACGAGGAGGAGGCAGAAGGAGCCTTGGTCGCAGATGGACAGAATCTCATTTGTCACTTTGACCAGGGCTGTTTCTGTGCCGTGGGCAGCACGGAAGCCCAATTGGAGCAAGTCTTGCAAATTTGCAAACCTGAGAGCTATCAGTTACCCATTTGCAATAATTTGCTCCTGCATTTAGCCTAAATCGAAGCCACATTACCCAATTCTCTTTCAAATAGCAAGTATTACTGCAAGATCAAAGACGTGCAGGCTTAAATTACTAATGCTGCATATTTATATACAAACAATATATACAAAGCAATATCAGGAACAACTATAACAATTCATTCAAAAAATAATATGTAACCCTGGTTATCTCCCCCTAACACAGGGGAACTAAGGCCAATCTGCCTTTACCCACCGATCAATTAAGTTCATACCAAAATTTGCTTAAAAGCCCGATTCCGCCATAAACAAGTGTGTTATTGGAAAATGGTGAAACATCTATTTCAGCTGCTGAATAGGAAATTAAGATACGGGAAACCTATCTTGGATAAATAAGATTCTGCAAAAACTATACCAAGGATAAATTGGTATGTTATGCTGCTGGGCAGTTATAGTGGGGGAGAGATCAAAAAGATGCAGAAATGTCGACATGTTTGAGACATGAAACATTGGCTTCAAATAAAAAAAATCTGATCACTCAATCCATGATTGTGTGCGGGACACTGCTGTGTGCAATTGGCTGCCAAGTTTCGCCCATAGAATACACAGTCACTATGTTCTTTCAGAGGCTTTGATACATCTCGAAGACGTGATAAGGCACTATAGCAAATGCAAGATTATTATTATATTATAGTTGTGTTCTGCATTATGCTGTACTTCAACATCTTGTCCTGTGTTCATAGTTTCTCCAGGTACCATGGTGCTGGTGGAAGTAAGTGCGGATATACACATCTGCGGCATCTGCAAGCAACAGTACAGCGCACTGGAATCTTTTGTGGCGCACAAGCAAAATGGCTGCCACCTTGGGACGACGGCAGGCGCTGGTACCGTTCAGTACGTGGGGGAAGGAGCAACGCCAGCTACCCAGACTCAAGCTGTTACAAGTACCATTACTACACAGACGCAGACCATCCCAGGTACGGCGGTGACCGTTCGGCTTGTTTTAATGGGAATGATGTGATTTGGAGCAGAGGTGGCAAGATATCGATCGTTGCTCAAACATTAGGCGACCCAACACCCTGTACCTCTCACGTGTGCCCTTCCTTTATGTGCAAGCCTCGATAATGGTGGGCAGCACAGCCTCTCCTCATCAAATGAACATAACTATCCTCGCTTCACAGCAGGAGTTGTAGAGTGAAGCACCAGATCATGATTAGAAACAGAACTGGTTGTTCTCTTATCTGAGCCAAACTGAAGGGAATTGTAATGGTTTTAATGGTGTCTTAGCCTCTGTGGATCTCACATAAGTCAAGGAATTGTACTGGGGAACTGAATCACTTACCGTGTGAGACAATGCATTTACCTGCATTCGCCCACAAATATACAGTCAATTCACTTTACAGTGTGTTCTGTGAAGCGCTTTGGGACGTCCTCCCGACGTGAAAAGCGCTATATCAAATGCAAGGATTATTATTATTATTACCTGCTGGGTTATTGGCTAGCTATATTTGCAATGTGCTATTTAAACAGTACATGTTAACTTTTACCAATTTGCTGGCAATTATACCTAACTGCAGTTTATATTCATTCATATTCAGTTGAAGTTCCTGTAATGTTAATGGTTTTAAAACATAGTTTTGTAAGTAGGAACAAATTGACGTTCTTGTATTCAGCAAGTTTGTGCTTCAAGAGTTTGAGTTTGAGATCAGAATTGGTTTGCAGTTCTGCTGAATAACACTTCATTCCTTTGGGAGGCAGTATTGTACCACACTTTGCATCTTACCCCTCCAACTCTATTTCAGTGCATTCATTCCCCGCATTTGATTTCAAAGCTATTCTCATATCTTTCTAAACTGGAAGCAGTGCATTTGTTGCCCTAGATCCATAAGACAACGGGCTCAATTTTAATGCTTTAATTTCCATAATATTGATCTTATTGAATGGTGCATGTGTGTGTGTTTGCAAATCATGCATTGTACATCCCTCCCTCTTCCATTCCAGTGATGTGCCAGTGATCTAGCCAAACAAACTTTATTTTTTTTAGCCATTATTGGTTGCATTGTAGCTACTTCTAGGCTTCTGCCACGCGAATCTTAAATTCTCTAGGCGGTGCACAAGAGTTACTCGTGGCTATCTGTCCTCCTCCCTAAGCAAAGCTCCTTCCTGATGATGTGGCAGAGGTGTGGAACTGTCCATGCGCGGACTTATCTGAGGGTACTGGCATTATATAGATGAGACATTAAACCAAGTAAACCAACGTCCTGTCTGTGTGCTCAGGTGGACGTTAAATATCCTGTAGTAACATTAGAAAAGGGGAAGGAATTTCTCCCAGTATTCTAGCCAACAATCCCTAAAATAAAATTGTCAGTCATTTTGTAGTTGTTTATTGTGGGACACTGCTGTGTCAAATTGGCTGCTGCAAATAAACAGTCACAAATAAAATCTTGTGAAATGCTTTCAGACGTCTTGATGATGTGATAAGGTGCTATATCAAAAGCAAGATCATCATATATCCCTGGCTTCTCTCCAGTATACACTGAAAAATGTTCCAATTTTTAACTCGTTCCCCCTTTACTAAAGGCTCTCAGCTCGCCCACAAAACATAGTCAGTTCACTTTACAGTATATTCTGTGAAGAGCTTTGAGACGTCTCGAAAACTTGATATGGCTCTATATCAAATGCAAGGATTATTATAGCACAAACATGCCTGTATGCCCTTCATATGGAAATCAGTTTGCACATAAAGAATGGTCACTTGGGCGAGGTAACGGAGGTGCCCGGAACCACACTCCAGCGTGAATTAGAACTAGTTAGAAGAGATGAAGGGAGAAATTGGCACATAACTTTATAGATAACCTGTGCGTCATTAGTGCTGCTCTATATCCTTCCCAAAAGTGACAGCTGTTTTCTCAGTCTCAAGTTTGGCTTCTTGTTTCATGTTGCCTGGATTATTTACTGGTGGCAGTTAAAGAGCTGGTCCTCGTATTGATCTTTGTTTTTGTTGTCAGTGATCCAAGCCGAAGCGTCTTTTTTTTTCAGTCAAATTTATTGCTCATTTCCTGGTTTTAATGTTTGCAAAAACAGTTCACATTAATCACAGGTTAACGTCTTCTCAACGATCTCCTTTAGCGATGCATTTTCATGTTAAAATGTTGTTTGCCATTAACTGCCTGAATGTGTGCTTGACACTTCAAAACCCTTGGGCCTCTTGTCATGCGTTCGAGAAAAACAGGATGCCCAGAGTTGATTGGTTTGAAAGGATCTGTAATCCAGATTTGAAAATTCTCAGGTGCCGGGCAGTCAGAAGTGGTCAGTGGAGAAAAAGTATCTTAAAGTTGTGTTAGATTTAATTTTAATTCATTGTCTTTGCATAAGCTTCCACTAAATGCCAGACCAGAGGGTTCTTATTGCCATAGAGGGTACATTTTTACCAAAAACAACTGTTCATGCATGCTGCAGATCATTTATTAATGTGTCTGGATGCTTTGCTACCATTACAGTATTTATTTTCACTTATCCATAGATGGAGGTTCAAGTCTGTATTTCCCTTACCTTTAGCCTGTGCACTAAAGATTAGGGAAACAAGAACTATGTTCAAGCCTTCCATGTTGTCTAACTGGGAAGGGAAAACAAGGACATATAAGTTTCAGCCTGGAAATTGTTCCATGGGTGGGTGGGAATCCTGGGTCTGGGGCTCAGGAAAAATGTTTCCATGAAGGGGGTGAGGAAGAGTGGGTTTGATCCCCCTGTGTTCCCAGATGAGGGAAGTGGGACAAAACAGCTATACGGTTGAGCCAGCCATGAAACACTTCACAGTACAAAGCAATAGAGAGACAAATGATTGTGTCCATGTTGCTTAAAGCACTAATCTTTCACATGTGGATTAGAACACAAGATTGATGGTTAAAATTAGTGATCCTTGTTCAACCATCAAGCTCAGTCGGTGAGAACAAGACAGATTCTTCACAAGCAATGTCTGGAACAATTTGTATTCAGGTAATGTTTCTTTTGTTAAGTGACAGGGGGAAAAACAAATTGCTTAGAGTACCTTTGCCAAAGAGTACATGTATATGGGAACATGTGAAATTATAGGAAACATACATTTAGTCCTAGAAGCCTGACTTTATAGTTGAACTACAACCTCCCAATTTTTAACTCGTTGCCCCCTCTACTAAAGGCTCTCGGCTTCTTTTACCTTCTTTTGGTTTATGTTCCACAGGAGATGGTCATCATCCTCCAGCACCTTATACAAGTGACCATTATTCATGTTTGATCGTCGATATAAAGCATTGGCAGGCTATTCAACTAATGAGGGAGGGGAGAGATTGCATCACAGCCAAGCCCAATTCTGTTGTCGCCCAACATCCACCCATGCACACCTTGCCCCAGGGATTTCTGACTAGTAATCACAGACAGGACTCTTGGCTAATATTCCCCTTTCTACCACAGAGTCACTGAGGCCAATTCTAGCACCCCACCTCAGCCCCAGCGGTAATCACTAATGACTGATCATTGAGCTTGCGACATTCTGTAAGCCCATTGCTGTGCCTAAAATAGTCACTGCACTTTACAGTAAATCCCGTGAAGAGCTTTGAGTTGTGATCGGGCACTGTATGAAATTCAAGGATTATTATTTGTAACAACATCTTGCATTTCTATAGCACGCTTCACATAGGATAACATCTCTTAACACTTCACAAAGACTGGGTCAGAGGTGGATTTTAGGGGGCGTAGAGGATTCCAGAGGTTTGGGGCCATCAAAGTTGATTGGTAGGATGTGAGTAAATGTTGGCGTCAGCAAAAGAGAATGGCTTCCCTCTTGTCCATGTTAAACTGTATAGCTATAACATTTAATGCACTCACTGTTTACGTGGATTCTCTGCTTCTCATGAAACCCATCTTTTGCATGAAACCACACCATGCCTACCACACCTTGGTGTGGTTGATAATAACACTGCATACAAATTGAGGAAAAGTATGCAAATTCTCAGCGTAGATAATGCTGACCTTGATGAACACTTATTCGTTGCCAGCAGAAGGGATGCATTTTAAGACAGATTACATTTTCACCACTCTGTGGCCTCAGATTAAAATCTGCACATAAGGATTGTGGTGATATGAGATATGCACATCAAATGTACAATGGTAAAAATGTAGGTGGAGCCCAGTCCCGAATAGAAACAGTTTTCTGTTCATTTTGGATAGGGTTCAACAATTACCACCCTGTATTTAAAATGTTAATGGTATAAATAATTAACAGTGCAGAACTGTTTCCTTTGATTTAAAGTAGTGTTTGTGTGCCTGCGGCTGTTTTTTCTATTAACTAAAAGGCTTTTGCTTAATTGTTTAAATAGAGATGCCAGTGTAGTACACAAAGCAAATACAGAACCTAATTAAATATTGTGCAAATATTTACTTGGTTTAAATAGCACTACATCACTTTCTGCCACACAGTGGCCACAGTAGATAATTTTTCATTCGAAAGAAACAACCGTATTTATTTTTTGAGGAAGTATTGTAAGTCGCACTGGCAGTTTGTTTTGGCATTTTCATAATACTGTAGTGCTTATGTGGGTTGGTATCTTTTTCCGTTTGGTTGCTGGACTGTCGGTTCGAAAGGGCCAATGTTAGCTTCCAAACTGTTATCAACTTGATGTCTTAACTAGTGAGTAGCGCGTGGTTTAAGAAGAAACTTAAATGCAGTGACAATAAATGCACTTTATTGCTGAAGTGTGTTTTTTAATCCTGACAATTGCTTACATTTCTAATTCCAAATATCTACGACGGTTTACAGAATTATGTTTTTTCATTGAAAGTTACTGTCTGCAATGATCTGCAGGTTTTAATTTGCTGAGAGATGCAAGAGAAAATCTGAAGGCAGGATTTACTAACTGTGTGATGTCAGTGTTGTAGTTGTGCCATGCTTTAAGCTGTCCTGCTGGCAAATGGCATTGGTGTGCCAGTGTGCTCTCCTTGCAAGGTGGCAGCAAGTGTTCATGAGCCAATGATTTCCCATGTATAGAGTTTCTGAACTTCTTTGGATATTGGAAGGAAAAGATGGTGTTTCCCCAACAGAATACAAATAACTTTCAGCTGCGGCGCACCTTGTGTATGCCGTGCTTACAGTTCAAGGAATTAAGCGCTCCGAGACCCCGTCCGGGATGAAGGGCGCTGTATAAGTGTTGTTGTTGACTGCATGTCCAATTAACCCCCCCGAAAAGCAACGTTGGCACTAGATAATGTAAAAGGCGGAAGGCTTTTTAGGGGTATTTTGATTTTTTAGATTAACGTTTTTTCTTATTCCCTCTCTGATTTTCATCCCTTTCTGGCTCACGCTAGACTATAGTACTACAAACATCGGCCATCCTCCGCTATCGCATCCAAGTGACCATTCTTCATGTGGGAACCTAGACGGTAAGTGTCATCACAAGCAGCTGATCCTGTCCTCACCTGGCATTCACACAAGCTCACATTCCAGCAACGAACACTGATTGTTGATCATGAGCAGGAACAGTTCCTAACTGTGTTCCACTCTCTCAAACCAGAGACATTGATCCAAATTGGAGTGCACACACAGCATGCCTCATCATTATTATTATTATTATCAAACCTGAAATTTTCTGCGTCTGTACACTATTGGCTCAGTGTTCACGCAAGGTATTTGGTTTGCCAACTGAACCATTGAAAGTGTCACTGGGCAATGCCCTTACTTACCAACATAGCCTTAGGAGTGCTCTAACTGTAATAGCAATATTTAAATAACTTGTTAAATAATAATAATAATAATAATAATCCTTGCATTTGATATAGCGCTTTTCACGTCGGGAGGACGTCCCAAAGCGCTTCACAGAATATACTGTAAAGTGAATTGACTGTATATTTGTGGGCGAACGCGGCAGCCAATTGCGCACAGCAATGTCCCACAAACAGTCGTAGATTGAAAATGACCAATTTATTATTGTTTGGGTTTTTTGGAGGGATTATTATTAGGCGTGTGGAGTAAGGAAACTTGCCCAAGGTTTCGCCCTGCCTGGAATTGAACTCAGGTCTCTCGCTTGCAAAGCGAGTGCTCTAACCACTGAGCTACAGGACTCCACTCCAAATGTACAAATAAAAGTTTTTAAAGAAGATATTTCCATGTACCAGAGTTTATTTTTATACTCTTAATTGGCGTTAAGCTCATGCCTCTTGTTATAGTTTCCAACCGCTTGTCGGAGTTTGGTTTTGAACAAAGTTATCAGACGTATCTACCAAACAGCAGCAGCAGTGCAGGCCAAGTTTCCAACCTGACGCCGGGACCCACTGCACCACCTCTCAAAAAATCCAAGTCGAATTCGACATCACAGAAGAAACTGACGTGCTGCTATCCGGGTATGTACAAGGCTCTTTTTTGTTTTCCTTAAAATCCCTTTGCAATACCCGAAGCTGTAATTATTATTGTCTCCGTATTTACAAGAAACTCCTACCTGGGAGAATTCAAAGTTTAAATAAATAAGTTAAATAAATTTTTGAAAAAAAAATCTTGGCATTTGATATAGCGCCTTCATGTCGGGAGGACATTTCACAAGTGCTTCATGGGAATTACTCTAGAGGATATCGGCGCTCTGACGCACTAGCCCAGGCGAAGGGCTCTATATAAACGCTTGTTGTTACTGTAAAGTGAACTGACTGTAATTTGTTAGAGAACAAATCGATCTGGGTGTATTTTACAAGCATTTATAATACATTTTAGAAGAACGAAATTTAACATCCAAATGCACTTCCTTTTCACTTTCTTTGTTTGAACGATTCTAGGTTGTACATTTAAAACATCCCACGGAAATAAAGATTTGGATCGACATTTAAGAACTCACACAGGTATGGCTAGATTAAAGGTTAATAATAATAATAATCCTTGCATTTGATCTAATCACTTAGGTGTTGAAAGATGTCGAAAGAATTATGTCTGAGGAACAAATCCAGTCAATGGGTAATAAAATGCCATTTGTATTATTTTCAATTAATGGGTAAGACATTTTGGGTCACCAACTTGTGGGCATAGGAAACAGATCTCAATTGATGTAAATGGTAGCAAAATTATATACTTTTCCTCATTAACAAGAAAAATTCCGTCTTATCACACACTTGAGTTTAGTACTGGAGTTTTTTGGGGGCGTTTAGGGGTAGAGTTTTGGGAGAATAGCACCTGAATTTTTGTTAACAATACCCGTTTGTTTTTCTGTATGTGAGATTCCTCCAGCTGTAAGGGCTTGTTTCTTGTGCTGCGTTCCACTCATTGGGGGACAGACTGTCAGTAATTGCTGACCGTTCCTGAGTTCAGGGTTTAAAAGCAAGTGCAGCTTTCGTTACTGCAATAGCCAGGAAATATCTCCCATTTCAAATTGATAGCAATAAGAGTACATCTCAGTTGTAGTTTGATGGGCAGCAAATCATGCGTACAGTTATTTTCTGTTGTTTCGGATGCTGCCTTCTTCCTACAGCAAGACCATAAAGACAATATTTCTCCCTAACTTTACGTGTGAAATTCATGCGCCCTGTTACCTGATGGAGAAGTGTGCGTGTTCAAATTTTGAACCTGGCGCGTTTTTCTTCTGAACCACATTTGCAGGCGAAAAACCATTCAAGTGTGATATCTGCAACAAGAATTTCAGCCGCCAGGATAAGCTGAAGATGCACAATCGCTCCCACACGGGAGAGAAACCGTACAAGTGCCAGTACTGTGACTACGCGGCAGCCGACAGCAGTAGCCTGAAGAAGCACCTCAGGATTCATTCTGACGAGCGGCCGTTTAAATGCCAGATATGTCCTTACGCCAGCCGCAACTCCAGCCAGCTCATCATCCACCTCCGTTCTCACACTGGTGAGTTTGCCTCTCTGCCCCCATTCCTCTGGAACTCCATCCCACAGTCCCTCTGCCTCGCCCCCTCCCTTGACTCCTTCAAGACTGATCTCAAGATCCTCCTCTTCAACCGTGCCTTCGGTCACCCTCCTACCCTCCCCACCCTCCAGCCCTCCTGATCCCACCCACCAGCTCAGGTGTGGATCCCTGACTGTCCAGCATCTTGGGACGTCCTCTTGACGTGAAAGGCGCTATACAAATTTGTTGTTGTTGCTAGCTGAGGATGGCAGATGTATTTGAAATGCTTTTTGTACAGTTTGCCAGTAAAAGAATGAAAAATGAATAAAGCAGCTATCCAGGTAAAGTATCCCAATCCTATTTTAATTCAACATTTTACGATCTCCCTCTTGCCCCTTCCAGCTGGGTTCAGGAGCATAATCCTGGCTTTTCCTCAGCCCCTTGCTCTCCAGGGAGCTGTGCCTAATGTTGGTACCTCCTCAGATCAGCCAAATCAGCAGAGACCAGGGTTAGAACCCGAAATGGCTTGGTCTTTATAGGGTGGTCAGTGACCAGTCTTGTTAGCTAGCTACGCAATCATAGCAGCTCATTAGTAAATATTTTGAGTATTGTTTCTTCTTGTCTAGCTAATACGAAGGGCACTTAAGCAAAAGACATCGCAACAAGCCAACTCTATTGTTCAGATGAGCATCGAATGGATGTAGGTAGGATTAAAAAGTTGTAACTGATGCAACTGGACCCTAGCATCAGCCAGATTGCTTGTTCTCTTGACTGAAGGGAATACCTAGACCCAATAAATAGGGTGGGAAGGAATAACACTATTTTTCCACTACAATAGTAAATAATAATCATCCTTGCATTTGTTAGAGAGCGTTATCACATCTTCAAGACGTCTCAAAGCTCTTCACAGAATATACTGCAAAGTGAATTAACTGTATATTTTATATCACTGTATATCACTTGACAGTATATTTTGTGACTCTTTCACACAGACCGAGCAAAATATTATTACTGGGAACGCTTCATTATTAACACAAGGTATATTAAGTTGTAAATTGTTGACTGCTATTAAAATGAAGAAGCAGATCTGGTTACTTTGGGACATAGCTGGGACGTGGGGGAAAGCTGCAGGACAAGCTGGTAATTCGAACTGTACATCTGATATTACAGTGTGACACAGCGTGAGCTTGTGCTTGTCTAAACGGCATTTCAGGAGCGAGACCTGCTCATGGACCTCACGGTTGCTAATATGGTGTAAAATACTTTACCAAATCGTCTGACGGCTTGAGTACAAACTCACAGCTGGAGGGTGTCAGTTGCTGTGGAACATGAATGTGCCACAATGTCATAGGCACTAACTCCCAAGCACACTCACAAATCATTTCATAATGAGACAGTATTGCTAGCCGTATCGTATAACCATCAAATGATAGAAAAAAAATTAACTGACGAACAAAACAGTGTGAATATTACCAATAGTTTCGATTGCAAGTCCAAAACGTTCTCCTCGGATGAGCTGAAATTAACCTGAGCACAATCAGTAAGGTTTACTGACTATCTACCCTGCTGAAAATGGTAGATAAATTCTAATGTTAAGGGCAGTGCTAATGAGGAAACATTTCTTCACTCAGAGGGTAGTGAATTTATGGAATTCACTACCCCAGAAGGCTGTAGATGCTCAGTCCTTGAAAGTTTTCAAGGCTGAGACTGATAGATTTTTTAAAAATAGAGGGATATGGGGATAGGGCAGGTAATTAGAGTAAGGTCAGAAAATCAGCCATGATCTTATCGAATAGCGGGGCAGGCTCGAGGGGCCGAATGTCCTGCTCCTAATTCTTATGTTCTTATGTACTGTTATTTAGTATAAAATTATTCTAATTCACAAATCGGCAACAATGCTTTAATCTGAATAGTACAGAGTGTCCACAAACACTTGTTATCCCCACGATTTGTTTTCCTGCAGTGTACTAACCAACAACTGAAATGCATGTGGAAGAATGATAATATTGTATGTAGAAGTGCTTAATTGCAACCAGTCGTTTCACCCGCGCTGATCTAGAAATCCAGGTTTTCGTTCTGCTTTTCAGGAGACGCTCCGTTCCAATGCCCAGTTTGCAACGCCAAATTTAAAATCAACTCTGACTTGAAAAGACACATACGGATCCACTCCGGTGAAAAGCCCTATCAATGTGACTTCTGTGATTACCGCTGTGCCATGAAGGGCAACCTCCGGTCTCACGTCCGTATAAAGCACAGCATGGAGAACGCCTTCAAGTGCCCGCAGTGTGAGTTTCAGTGCGGAAACAAGTCCACGTTGAGACAGCACACAAGGATCCACCAGCCAGACAAGCCGATAAAATGCTCCCAGTGCAGCTACTCATGTTCCAGCAGAGGGTCTCTGAAGGTACACGAAAGAATACATTCCGAAGACCGGCCTTTCAGGTGCAAGTTCTGCTCTTTCGGCTCCAAGCAACGCAGTAATCTGCTCATGCACTTAAAGAAGCATCACATAGGGAAAGATAAACTGGGCGGCAGGAAGAAAGGAGAAGGGCTGAAACAAGGTTCAACCAGGTTGGTGGTCAAACTGGATGCAAAGAAACCCTTCAGATGCGATTTGTGTGAAGCCAGTTTTGTCCGAGAGGATTCGCTGCGCAGCCATAAGAATCAGCACCGCATTGTATCACACGGTGTTGAAGACGGAACCCTAGCAGTGCTGCAACTTCAGATGCATCAAGGGAGCCAACCCAATGCCACGTCCGTCTCCAGTCATCAACAGCCAAGATCGGTCACGACGTTTAGCAAAGCAGAGGTGAAGATTATCGTTGGCCACCAGTTGAATCCAACGAACGGCGTTCAAGCAGCTGTGAACGAGCACCACACGATGAGAGATGCTGTGGTGTCCGATTCCAGCCATCAGAACATCAGGGACGAAGTCTCACATGGACCCCAGTTACAACTGTTGCAGCAAGTCAGCATAATTACACCAGCGCAACAAGCAGTTCCGCAGAATGAAGCTGATGCAAATTCTTCTTTGGAGCAAGAAACAGTTCTGCTTAGCCCCATTAGCTCCAGTGCTGCTGACAGCCTCCATCAGGCCCTCATGCAGACCACTGCAGTTACGAACCAAGGATTAACCAACCAGTCATTCATCACGAGCTCGACAATCAATTGCTCAGACCTGGATGGCCTCAACGCCCTCATCCAGGAGGACAGTAGAGGAGTTACTGTAGTGAGCAACACCAACCAGAATGTTGTAACCTCCTCATCCTCCAGCATCACCCATCTTCTTTTCCCCGTCTCCTCAAACGCAGCGACGTAGATGGATGGATAGATAGGACTTGGATTTTTTTTTTTTTACAGCGCCTTATGTTGAAATGTCTCCAAACGCTTCACGTGGAATTACTATCAAGTGTAGTGGCTTTTTTTTGCAGGCAAACGAAGTGACCATTTACACCAGCCACGAGGTGAATTGCCATTTAATCGAGAGGACTGATAAATATCTTTTCCTTTGTTTCGGCAGGAAGACCATCGAGTGATAATTGCCCAGTGGTCAGATTATAATAGCGATAGAACTCCTCTCGCAGTCCCAACAATCATCATTGCAGACCAGGGTCAGTCACCTATTCCTACCTAATAGCAATTCAGCACTTTGGGGTGAGCTCCCAACATTAAAGGTGCTATACAAATGTCACTTGTTGTTGTTGTTGAAGCAGCATTGACAATAACTGTATGTATGGTAACTGCCTGAACAGACCAGCTGGTGGACAATAGTTGGAAAAGTGGATAACATTTTCCATGAATGTCGTTCACTTCTACAGCAACTCCGGCAATTTCAGCTAGATTCACTTGTGATCGTAAATAAAAGAATCTGACCCTCCTCGGTAAAATTGATCAAAACCTGAACCCTTTTCAATAAAATCGAGACAGATGCAATATTTCTTCTCACGGGCCACTGTTATTTAATTCAGATACATCTTGTATTTTTTTTGAACACCACTGTTTTGTACCATTTTTATGAATAAATATCAAAAAGTTTCAGACAACAACGTTTAGTCAGTATGATGTGCAAAAATGCCTAGAATTTGCTTGTGATTTCCCCCTTCCTGTTTTATAAGTGAAGTTCACATTATTTCACTTTCGTGGATGGAGCATTGGATTCCCGTGGAACTGAGCTGCATCACTGTCTATCGTGGCTGCCACTGACATTGTAGAAGAATAGAGGCCACCTCAAGAAACAGAAATAGCAGCCTCAAAGGAAAAAAACAATCCTGCTTCATTTATAATACAAAATTGGTCCAACCATTCTGAAGGTCTGGAAGAAGGCTGCTTTTCTTTCTGCCTCACTTAAAGATGATTGGAGTGTTGGGAGATCAAAGAGGGAGATAGAGACATGATAGATAAAAACTAGGAGAAAATCAGGAGGTTTTGATTGCGAATTTGTAAGGTATAGTTTACACTGTGGCCTTCTCTAACCATTTCCCATCCCTTATTGCTGGCAGAAGCATTAGATTTGTTCACAATGAGGTCAAGCAGCTTATTTCTAGATCACTAAACTGAATAATTTGCATGTGTTCTACTTGTACTTTATTGAAGGCCTAGATTTACTGCCAGCGGATTTGCTTTGCGAGGGTGCTGAAAGGACCAAATACTACTTTAGCTAAAGGCTAATTTTATTTGTAGATTTCACTGCCCAAAACCCTGAGATGAAACCCAAGAGCAAAATCCGGACCCCTGCAGTTCTCTCCTGTTAATGTTTCTGACATTTCCATATGGAGATAACATAATAGACATTTGCAGAAAATATGTCTTGCCAAAGCAAATTATATTGTTTTGTTTTACGCATTGTCTTGAGTGAATGGTAATAAATTTGAGTGAATCGTTTAACACATTCTGTACACTGCAAATAATAAAAAAAGTTGAGTGTTAATTTGATACAAGTGTTGATGAGCCAAAGCAGCCTTGTTAATATCTGGTAATGATTGGTATGTATTTTGAATTGTTCCAAGGTTGGTTTGATGGAAGTGTCACTTCCATCTGGATCTCTGAACTTCCTTAAATGACACAATAACCCTGTCAGATTGGGCACCAGTTCTGCTGGGACATCTATAACAATGGTGTGTACGAGCAAGTCTCTTCATACTTGAGAAGATCCAATGAGGAGTTTCCAGCAGTCATCACTGAAGGTCAATCAGTTGCAGGCAGTGGTTATTAGAGTGCAATTTCATGAACTGATCCATTCTCTTCTCGTAGATGTTGACAAAAGCCCAGTTGACGTCAGCATGCTGAGCAACTTGTTGAGCAAACACAAGGTATTGCTTGGGCTAAATATTGAAGCCTCCTTATATGGATACTGTGGTTCAAGCTGAGCTAAGCCACTTTGAAATTAATGGTATCTCTCTTTTATAGAACAGTTTTTCTTATTTATTAGTATTGGACCACCACTGCACTGCTAGACTACTAATCAGTCTACATCTTTCAGAACACAGTGACCATTGTTCTACTCCGTTGATGTAGAAATGTTTAAATGGTTTGGTACCGACGTACATCTAACCATCAGAACACATCAATTTTGCGCCAGGAAATCAGATCTTGGCTTTGTCTTGACTTTGGAGCTTGCCGAGCAAGAGAAATTATTTTATTTTCTGTCTGTGCCGTGTTAGTTGATTTTACCTGGTGGCTCGATAAATACGGCCACAAATGGACTCCAGACCCATGAGCAAATGGAGACAGGAAATCGGACAGGATTCACACTCCCATTTGCTATCCAATGACAGAGGACACTCACCCTATAGACTGATGTGAGGGCCTGCCGATGGCCATTGAACAGTACTGCAGCTAAGAGTGCTGGAGCTTTGAGGAGGGAGGAAACTGGTGACCTACCAAAAGAGAGGGAGTTAGTGAGCAACAACAGACTTAATCAGGTGTAACTAATCCGATCTGGGACATCACATCAATGCAAACAAGTTCTGTAGCTGATGGCAGACTAGCCAGCCTGGCAGAGCTTAGAGCAGCAGAATGAGAGAAGGGATTCTTTCCACTCGGCTACTGTTAACCCTATGGTTAGGGCTGGTCCTAGATGGACAAGTAGCGGGAAGCTTGCCAACCCATGCTCTCATTGGCCAGTTATGTTCTCTTAGCTGGTTAAACTCTAGCAGTAATAATAATAATAATCCTTGCCTTTGATATTGCACCTTATCACGCATTCGGGAAGTCTCAAAGTGCTGCATAGAATATACAGTAAAGTGAATTGTCAGTGTATTTTGTGGGTGAAACGTGGCAACCAATTGCACACAGCAGCGTCCCACAAACAGTTGTGAATTGAAGTGACCATTTTTTTTTGGAAGGGATTATTATCCCCGGAAAAGCGATCCTCCAATCGACTAACAACTGGGTTCCTACTTACTGTTAGGTGAATAGTACTACAACCCATGCTGTGTGACCTCCCTCCACCCATCCCAAGCTTTGACTTTTGCCAACCTGTGCTTAATCTCCAGAATTAGTTGCACAGGTTGCATTCCTCCAGGGATAGAGTGAGCATTTCAGATGCAGGGACATTTCCAAGTGTAAAGAGCGTGGTGATGGGTTTCTGCATGTCTAGATTAGCTAGAGTACTTTTGGAGTAATTTTCAACTTGCTGCTTGCTATCTGGCGGTAGGTAATAGTTGGAGACATTGTGTTAGTCATAAAATAAATAAGGGAGAGATAATAAAATAGGTTGTCCTGCTTTGCTCCATGTGTGCAGCACACACAGCTTTTACAATCTTTAGACGTCTCTTTTGAGTACTAAAATTGTTTGTGCTTCCAATGCAATTTCATGCAGCCAGGATTTATATGGCACCTAATTTGATTTTTGATAGTTTTAAAATATGAGGCATGTAATTAAATGGGTGGAATTGTGCACCTTAAACCCTTTCCAGAGACTGGTGAATTTTCCCAGAATAAACCTTCAGGTGGGTGGGCAAACAGCCATGTCCAGTTCCACTAACTCAGCTTTATGGCCCATTTAACTGACTCATAAGTACAAAGATTTATGCAGCCTGACTGACGAGCATAACTAGAGGTTAGGAGCCTTTACAGACGACTTGGCTTGAATAATATCAGTCATTTGGACAAAACGGGAGCATTTTTCCACCAAGATAAATGAAGGAAAATTAAAAGCATTGTCGCTTGCAAAAAAAAGTATGGCAAACCTTTTGAGCCCTTCGTTTGGGAATACATTATTGCACAGTGTCATTTGCATTGTCATAATATACAGTAATCTTGACCACAGAACTCGTTGTATTGTACAAACCCATCAGGTCGCAACAACACTGCCAAGTCATGTCATTTCCACAGAACAGGATTGTGATGCAAATAAGATCTGGCTTGTCTTCAAAATGACGACAATTCCCACATTTAAAGATCGCATTTCTACCGATCTGCTTTATATATATCTTTTAAGGACGAGCTTGCAGAATTAAATGGTTCTAGATATTACAGAATTCAAAAACGACTTGAGAATGCTTAAAAACACCACTGGTTCCCTAGAATAGTGTTGCACTAGGTGACACCAATGTACTTTTATGATCACAAAACCCTTTTTTTAAAAGTTAATGACATGGATGTAATTCTTTTGATGGTCTTGTGGATGAAGACACTGCCCAGTGCAGAACTAACTATAGATTACAGTCTGCGTGTGCTGAGTTAATTGATTTTCGCAATTGGCCTCAGCAATCCTTTTGTTAGGACAAGGAAAATTTGCCAGGATCTCAGCTCCTGATTACCAACAAGGAGGATAACATAAGCCAAGATAATTAAATCAGTTAAATGCTGAAATTAAGGAAAGCAGGTTAAGAGGAGCAAAAGTACAGATGGAGAAGCATGTACTCCTTAACACTGCTGAGAGGTTTTGGATCACTTGTTCTGGATCCGATGTAAGTGCAGTCCGTCAGTGGAAACTACACTTTTTTTAAACTTAACTTGCAGTTGTGAAGAACTGTCATCTTTAATGTTACTGAAAGCTCCGAGATTAAGTTCGTAATTGACACAGCAGCTTTTTTTATTTTGTTTTAGCCATTTGTAATTATCAAGCGCATGCTTGATCGGCTGGAGCTTGCGGTGATATAAGAGTCCACTGGGCGGTGCTGGTGAACAGCTTAGCTCCGCAACTCTTATTTGCAAGATTCATCCCTCCAAACCCAAAGAGTTTGCGGCTATTTCTGTTGAAAATGAAATTCGTGTTTAAGAAATGGCTAATCATGGGGAAACGATACCAGTATTTACAAGGTACAGCATCTGTACTTTGGACGTGACATTAAACCCAGGTCCCGTCCAGGTGGATGTTCAAGATCCCATGGCGTTATTTGAGAAGAGAGTTTCTCTTGGTGTCCTGGCCAATAATGGCCACCCCCACCTCCCCCAATAAAATTGGTCACTCACTTCATGGCTGTTTGTGGGGCATTCCTGTGTGTGAAATGGCTGTCATGTTCACGTACAAGTACACAATCACTACATTTTACAGTAAATCCCGTGAAGCCCTTGGAGACGTCTCGTCTCGACGATTTGATCAGGCTCCATCGAATGCAAGGATTATTGTTGTCGATATTTTGCTCACTTCACTGCGACTTGACTTAGTGTGTTCCAAATGATTTAATAGGCGGTTCCAGTTAGAGATGCAGCACTAGTGACTCCCTCACTTGTTACGGGTAAGGATTCTGACCTACGATTCTCCACACAGCAGCACATTTTACTATCTCAAACCAGGGCATTTAGGTCCTTCCCCCTTGGAGGAAGCGGGGAAAGTCGCAGCAGAGGGACAGTGGGCAAGATCTGCTCACTCGCAGCCACCGGCTAAATGAAGAGCTGCTTCTGTAGAAGCTATGACTGGCGTGTGGTATAGTGGGGAAGGGAGAACCTCAAAGAGGGTAGAAAATACTGTAAATGAACAAAACAGGGCAGAATAATACTAAACAATTTTGGAGCACTGCCTTCATGAGTGATTTCCTTTCGCCTTTTTCTGTCCAATTTTCTCTTCTCTAAGGTTCCTCCTCCACAAGTGACAGAT